TGTTAGAGAAAAATCAAATTTTGTTTTTCTCATTTAAAACTAGGAATCTTACAGAGGTATGCAATTCAAAATTGTGAAAATGCCAATCTGTTCCATCACACTAAATCTGCCTGGGTAATTAGCCCAACATGGTTATATCCTAAACAGTTATCAACTGGCCAGAAAATCTATACACACCTGGGTTTTATTCCGACAGCCCCTGCATTCATACGTATGGGTCCTGGTGTTAGCAATCGCCATTATTCCACAAAGATTGCAAACATGAACCTGATATGGATCTGATGCCTCAAATAGTCTTTCCCTTAAAAACTGGGCTGCCCCATGGGCAATCTGACAGTCTCGTTCCATTTCACCAAAACGCAGGCCACCATCCCTGTTAAGACAAAAATAGATTATTTTGTATTATTTTCTACTAGAGGCCTGGTGCACAAAATTCCTGCACGGGTAGGGTCCCTAGGCCTGGCCAGCGATCATGGCCAATCAGGTTCCCCACCTCCCTGCCTCCTCTGTCCCTTGCTACCCGCGTGCCTCCACCAAACAGTTCCCCCAGCCTCTCTGCTTCCTCATTCCCTCACTCCCTCGGCACCCCACTGTCACTACTGGTCACCCGCCATGTTCTGCACCGCCCTCTGGTGGTCAGCGCACATCAGAGCGAGCGATCGAGCCCCATTCTCCCAGTGGAACTCCCGAAGGGACACTGCATATCAGCCTTTTATATATATAGATATCAACAGCACCTTGACTAATGGCATAGGTAAAGAATGACATTAATAAAGGAGAATTAGACTCTAATTTGTATATCCTAGCATTTTCTCTACATGGGGGGGAAGGGAAGAAGTCAATCAACTATTTAATGTGCATTAGAAGGTCCCCACATAGATGCATATCAGCCTTTTATATATATAGATATCAACAGCACCTTGACTAATGGCATAGGTAAAGAATGACATTAATAAAGGAGAATTAGACTCTAATTTGTATATCCTAGCATTTTCTCTACAGGCGGGGGAAGGGGAGAAGTCTATCAACTACTTAATGTGCATTAGAAGCTCCCCACATAGAGTAAACACATTAGATTCACACATCTAGCATACCAGTGGCCCAGTGCACGAATTTGTGCACACTGAAATTAATTAGAAGAAATATTTTAACATCACTATTCGCCCTTTCTCTGTAATAGAATTGGCAACCAAATTCCCAATCGACAATGACAGATCAAAACACACATGTGACTGGCATGAGAGCTTTATATATATCACGTATGCGCAAGTCAACTTAGCCTTTTTTTAAAAATATATTTTATTGATTTTTTACAGAGAGGAAGGGAGAGAGATAGAGAGTTAGAATCATCGATGAGAGAAACATCGATCAGCTGCCTCCTGCACATATCCTACTGGGGATGTGCCCGCAACCCAGGTACATGCCCTTGACCGGAATCGAACCTGGGACCTTTCAGTCTG